TCTGTCTCTCTCTGGTGACTGGCCATGGCGGTCAGCCATTTACCCTGTTTCTCTTCTATCTTAGTCTCTCTACTCTGATGACTCTAAAATAAACTGGTTTATAATTCTGTTGCGCCTTATAATAAACTTATAGTCAATATGTCTGTCTCAATATTTCTCTTTTCTTCTTTTTAAACAAAAGAATAACATTTTGGCGCCCGGACGTGGAAAGGCTCTGCCCTTAAAAGAATAACAGTGTTCATTTGTTATAAGGAGGTGTGTTTCTTGTAGGCTGCAACTAGATGGGTCGGGTTTTTCAATTCAATCTGCTAGCCTTTATTTTTTGCCTGGGCAATTGAGGCCACTAACACTGTCATGGCCCAGCATGTCTCAGCCCCAAGCCATGGAAGCCATGAGGTTTGGCCTGAGTTGGGGAGCATGGACTTGGAAACTCCTAGCAACCCAATGGTGATAAAGACCAAACACAGGCATCTTGTCATCTTTAGAGAGCTCTCGGTTCCATGTTGCAAAACTGGAGTCTCTTGTTTATTTGGCATCTTCTTGGCTGTTTCTTAACCATGCTTCCAAGGCCATGAGGCCATTTCTGTCTCCCCCAGTAGACTCCTCTAGATCCCCCCTAACTCTCCGTCCTCCCTGGTTACTCACACACCTCCTGCCCAGGTGCAGGCCTATTCAAATGCTTAGTCCTGTTGAGATGCAAACTAGGAGGCATTCTACACTGAGACTATGTTATACAATAGCAGACTTGCTCGCATTAGCAATACAATTATAGGCGGAGCTCCTGGGTGCTCCTGTTTACTGAAACTGGAGGCTGGACTTTAATACATTCCATAATGGAACTTTCTTGGTCCCCAACATAACACTCAGAGTCCTTAATTAAAGGCGTGCACTAATTCCTGGCATTTGATGCTTCATTTGGTATTCTGCTAATCTTGACTTGACTATTTGCCATTCTAGTCAGCTTAGCCTTTCCTATGACTTTGTGGGTATGTTTTAATACCTGTGTTCATAAGGTCCGTAAAGTCATAATCTGTTAGATCTGAGACCCAAATTCCAAGTGTGCATCCACTGTCCTTTTCTCTCTTTTTTGGTGGCTGATGATAATCAACCTAACTATAAACATTGCAGGGATTGTATATTTGGGAAGAATTGTCATAAACTATTTTATCACAAGTTCTGTGCTGAGGTTGGGAGTGACCGTGCATTGCTTTGAAGTGTTATTCCTGTAATGTTGGCCAGGTGTGTGTTAACTGACACAGTGAGTGGCTTTCACACAAATCTTCAGTTCTATAATTGTGGTGTAAGCTCAGCACAGGAAGTTGTAATGCATGGTTTGTGCTGTGATTATAATATTCATGCAGAAGAGGGTATAAACATGTATACAGTTTCATTAATAACACATGAACCTGCTGGGTTAAAGGTGAGGAGGTGATCATGACTATAGACCCCTGTTCCACACCCCCCTGCTTTTTCCTGTTGGCTGGGAAATGCGCAGGTAGAAGGGACACAGCCTTTGAGTTTGAAGCAGTGAGAAGCTGCCCACAGCTGAAGCAGCTCAGAATGTCACCGTTCAGAGAATTGTTCAGCTTTCCTGGAGCCTCTGAGGGCAGATGGGGAGAAGTACAGGGCAAGAGCAGGCCTGGGGAGCCAAGAACTCACCCTGGAGGTGGCTGTTGAGGCTGTATTGGGACTGCGAGGTATTTGGCCTGTGAGGCGCCATGGTTGGCCTCCCATTCAGGACACTAGAAGAGCTATGTGAGGCGCTGTGAGTATCCCCAGCGAAAGCAGGTGGAGGATAAGGAGGACTGTGCATGAGATGGAGACCTGGCAAGTGAAATAGAGTCTGCCTGGCTTCCTATGACCTCTGTTTTATCCACGTTTCACCATCAGCACCTTCTCCATTGGCTCTTGCTAAGGTCTGCACCCAGTTGCAGTGAGCTGTCATCAGGCATGCTTCACAGTTCTTTCTCAGGAAGACACTGGTTTTTTTAATGTTTCAAATTTTATTTATTTTTATTTTATGTGTGGGTTTGCCTGTGTGTATGTATGTTCACATTGTGTATGCCTGGTGCCTCGGGGACAGACGAGGGTCTTGGATCATTTGGAACTGTGAGCCACCGTGTAGATACTGAGAATCAATCCTGAGTCCCCTCAAAGAGCAGCAAGTGCTCTTAACACTGAGCCATCTCTCCAGCTCTGATCTTCTTCTTTTTTAAATGATGGATTTTTGTCTACAGTGTGATGACTGGACAAGCTTAGCTGCCACTATTTGGGGGGTGGAAATTATTTGTTAGAATGGCTTCTGTCTGTGAAGACAGAATATATAAACAAACTCAAGTTTCTCTCTTGCAGAGACATCCAACTAGGCACCCCAGGATCTGCTGGGGTGTAGATCATGTTTTCCAATTTTCCCTCTCCATTGCTAAATCACCCCAGTGTGACTTGCTCCAGGGCAAGATAGGAGAGCAAAAGGGATGCCTCCCATGTGCTCCCCAGGAGGTGCACACTAGAAAAGTCAGGATAAAGACTGGGAAAAACAATCTTTATCCTGAGAAGTAATGTACCCAGTCAGTGCCAGGGCACCTAGTTCAAGGAATAGAGAAAGGAAGAATGACAATGGGGAGTTGTGCCAGCCTCTGCCAGTGGCTCATTGCTTGCTGTCCCTGTGCACTGAAGACACACCTTCTGCTGTGTTTGCACAGGTCAACCCTGCTGATCACTCAGAGAGGTTTTCCTAATGCCTGTTCTAGAAGCTTGAAGGAAGAAGGTTGTTTTTCATTTAAGAACTCTGTTCTAGTAAGGAGGAGATCCTCGGGATAATTGGAATAAGATTATTTTTTGTCATTGTTTTACTTTTTGTTTTTTAAGTGGGAAAAATTTGGGACTAGTAGCTTCAAAGCGCTCACTCATTGTTGCTTGGCACAGGGACAGAACATCATGGCAGCAGGAGTGTGTGGGAGAAACACTCTTCACTTCCCAGCAGACAGGAAGGAGAAAAGAGTGGTATTTTAAAAGTGTGTGTGTGTGTGTGTGTGTGTGTGTGTGTGTGTGTATTTGCACATGAGTGCAGTGCCCACAGAAGCCAGAAGATGGTGTCAGATCCCCTGGAACTAGAGTAACAGTGAGCTGCCTGACATGGGTAATCCAAACACAACTCAGAATCTCAGCATTTGGGAGGCAGAGGCAAGCAGATCTTGGAGTTCAAGGCCAGCCTGGTCTACAGAGCAGCAAAGGCTACATAGGGAGAAAAATAAGGAAAAAAAAAAAGACCCAAAACAACTGAATAAAACTAAGATTTTCGGCAAGAGCAGCATCTCTCCAGCCCCTAGGACTTTTTTTTTAAAGCAAGATTTTATTTTCCTTCTTTGAGAGTGTAATGAACGTGGTCCCACTGTAAATAAAGACAGTAAAGATGAGGGGCAGAGAATATTCTGAAAGTTGGTTTGGTCACCTGAGTCATGACCTCTTGTAGTCTATAAAACATACAGGATATAAATGAGAAATACCAATTTCCCCCTTTAAAGTAGTTTAAGAAGAATAGAAAAAGGGATCTTGGAAACTTTGGTTCTTTTCTTTCCTCCCCCGTTGTAAACTCGTGTTGGGTGGTAGAGTTTGCATAGCATCTGCCGGTCAAGTGGGTTGGTGAGTCTTCGTATATGGTGACCACATTAGATGCTGAGACAGAAAGTTGGGGCAGGGGGTGGAGAGATCACAGTGACCTCTGTCTTTGCGGTTTGATTCTGTCTGCTTTGCCAGCTATTCACCCTCACGGACCTTCTGCTCTCTGATGTCAGTCAGCATCATCCTCATCTCCAGAACCCTCTTTGCCCATGGCTTTCTCAGCCTCCTCTTCTCTATAGCCATACTCTTCATCACAGTGGGCAAACTGTGATGTCTTGTCTTCTCAGATTTTGTTTGGCTTTTAGAATGCTCTTTTGCTGATTGGGTGGGCTTGTATGCCCAGGCACCAAACTCCACAGTATCAGCTTGCCTAGCTTATACAAGCAATGGGATTTTAAGAGAACACCTGCTCCTCCCCCGCCCCCAGGAGTGTTGAGTTGTGGAATCTGTTCTAGTGGAAGGAGAGAGAGGGGGCACCCCTGTGCCCAGCCTTCAGTGTAATCCTTGTCTCAGGACCTCACATGGGTTCCTCTGGCAGAAGCAGGCCTGCACATGGGTGTCCTTTCACCAGAGGGGAATCTAAGAAGCCAAATTGGGTTTCTCTAGAGCCCGCCTAGAATGTCTTCCTGCCCTTAATTCTGAGGTGTATCTTCTTGATGCTATAGGTTATCCATGAATACTGACACATGCTGAGCCCTGTAGGTCCTTCGGGAGAAACCCCAAGTGCACAGGTGCCCATGGCACCCTGCCATAGACCAACTCAACACTCAGCTCTCTGGATCCACTCCCTGCTTTGTTATGGCTTTTGAGGTTGTTCTTATTTTCTTGATTTTATATATGGGATTTTGTAAATATATGAGTCATATGTTATCTAGTTTTATGTATTTTATGGAACAATTAATCTGGGGTTTATCTCATCATATCATTGGATAGATAACTTGAAAAAAAATGTTTTCAGAGCCAGGATGACCATACACATCTGTGATCCCAGATTCAGGAGGCTGAGGCAGGAGGATCATGGATTCAAGTTCAGCCTGGGCTACATAGCAAGTTCCCATCTTAAACAGCCCAAAAATAAATAAATGAGATTTCTGAAATGATTGTGTCTTGGTGTTATGCTGTCTGTGTCTTGATTTTACTCAACAGTAAAAATAAAAACCCATTCATCCAACTATCTAAAAACCATCTTCTTAAATCAGAATTTGGGGGACAGAGTCTCTACCCCCTGCACCCTACACACCCAGTTAGTTGTTTTCGGGTTGTATGATTCTAGACCTGGGTAGGAGGTTGGAGCTATGTGGGGCGTGTCATAGACTTAATGTCCTCATACTGCTGTGCCTCCCGGCCAATGAGAACTCCCTGGAGTGACAAAGCCAGAATCTGGTAGCAATGACATGAGACTTTATTATCAAGCCACTGCCTGAGAAGGAACACAGATGGTGAAGGTAAAGGAGAAATGAGCAAGTCTGCTGTGAGCAGCTGTGATGCTGGGTGGAGCCAGGCAGTGGTCACGCCTGGCAGTGGGATAGGGTCTATTTGCTCGTGCTGATTCTTCTTTCAGGCTTGGGAAGGAGGGACACCCAGAGCAAGGGAGAGGCAGAACTAGATCACATTTGCACCCAGCAGTTTCTTCTCGTCTGTTTTCTAAGGAAGAGGCCAGAGCAAGATGTTGGTGACAGGGAGAGAAGGGAAATCGGGGTCCTGTGCTCCAGGCCAGCTAGTTCTGGAGCCAGGCAGCGCCAATCTCAGCTGCATAGGACCCTTGACAAAAAGCTCCACAGGCCTGGCATAGATGTGGCCGTCTATGCCTTCCTGGGGTCTTTGGATGGGACATTGGTTGGAAATAGGAACCTTGTGGGATGGGAGAGAAAGACATGATTCTTCCTGGGACTTGCATGGATGTCTCATCTGAACATGCCACTGCCCCAAACGCACTGACACAAAGACTTACCATCTTTGTGAAGCATCTTTTCCAGAAGTAAACACACACAGGGGTGAGAGAAGCCAGGAGCAGCAGCACCCAGACACCCAAGAGCATTGCCTGGAGACTTATGAGCAGGGTCTGGGAACACAGGGCAAAAGACAACGGTGCTGGAGTGATGGCTACATTCCTGCCCCTTTCCATTCTCTCTCCTGGCAAAGGTCACTTTCTACCCCTCACCTCCAAACCTACAGCTTCTGGATTGGGGAGGGATCATGGGTCCAGGGAATAGAATTCACCAGAAACTTTTTCCATTCTCCTCAATAGCTGAGCTGTGATTTGAGTGACAGGGAGGGCATACATTTACCGTGTTGGTAACCCTTGACATACTTGCAATCCTGGGACACTCATGGCTTGTGTCTGGTAGTATTTCTTTCCTAATGTGACATCCACAGCAGAGGAAACAGTTTCTGGCTTTCTCAGCCCTGCATCTTTAAGACCAATCTCCAAGACTAGAGGGAGGGGTACCTTCTCCTGCCCATCTTTGTCTCCCTGCTACCATCTGCAGGTGCCCTTCTCCATGGCCATTTACCTTCAGCATGCTTGTGTAGAATATACACAGGCCTATCCTATCCGCTTCTTCAGGACCTGGGGTGTTGGGGGGCTTGGTGGGCCAGTGATTTGAAGAGTAGCTCACACAGACATCATCTCTGAGATAGTATCGGTAAACATTGAACTCACAAGCTCCAAGAACAATGGCAGCCACAGACATGCAGAAATTCATCAGCACAAGAAGGGTCCTCAACAGGGCCTAGGTAGAGAAAGAGGAGGAGGAAGACCTTGAAGATTCAGATTTACCAGCCTGTGTGTGATGGGGCAGGAGGCCTGGCATAGCCTCAAGGCAGAGTGTGGGTCTTGCCTGGTCCTAAACTCACCCAGCAGGTACCACCCCGTTTCTTGTGAAGGAAGGCAACAGATCCAGCCATCATAGCCTGGGGAGATATTGAACCAGAAGGATCAGCATAGGAAATACAAATGCCCATTCATCTTCTGCCTCATCTCATCTGTAATGCCAGCCTGACGGCCTATGCCATTCTACCTGCATTCCAGGTGCTCTGCAATGCTCTATTGTCTGTGGTGGAGTAACTGTGCAGAGTGATGAGCCTGGATCTGACCAGCGAGGGTGTGGGACACTGTTGTAGTGACACCTAAGTGCACATGGTTAAGCCAGGTGGGTATCTTCTTGTCTGTTCCTATAATCTTCTTTTAAAATCACACGAGACTCTTCATGAAAGTTCCAAGGACCAGGGATCTTGTGGGTCAAAGTCCCAAATTGTTGGAAAAGCTGTCAGTGCAGGATGTGACTTTAGGCAGCCTCAGGCCCAGACTCCCGACTTACCAGCTACTAGGTCCATATGATGAGGACAGAAGAGCAGGAAGTCTGGTGCAGCCCCGTGAACACCTGAGTCTTTTTGACTATTCTAGAACAAATCTATATACTTCTGCCATTGGATGGGTTAGCATAGTTACTTTAATCTCTGTTCTCAATGAATACATGTATTTTTGCTGTTCTGGGAGTGTGGGTCTGTCAGAAAGTTCTCTGTACCCACCATGCTCAACACAGCCAGCTCAACACATTGGCGATAACAGCATGTTGGAATACATCCCTGGATCCCCATAGGATGAGCAAAAGGAAGTAGGAGATGCTCCCTGCCTGACATGCTCCACGTCCCCTGTCTTGAGGCAGATATCAGAGATGAGTGAGCCCTTAGAGCCTTAACTGATGACTGCCATTGATGGTGAGGTGTGGCTGCCAGCCTGGTGGGAGAAGCATGGGGCAAGAGACAGCAGAGCTGACCTGCGACTGCGCAGGCAACCATTTCCTCACTGGTGTCATCTACACAAGCACCAAACTGGCCTACACCATTCAGTCTGTTTGGCTACATGCTCTCTGATGTCACCTCGATGGTGGTGGTGTGCAGGAAGCAAAGAGAACATTACCCCTCTCCCCTCTGACAGCCGGGGACCTTCGTGATGCCACACTCACCACGATCCCAGTCCAGAAGGGGGCACCTGAGGTGTTCATGGCTAAATAATGGCAGATGTAGAGCATTCCACCCAGAACCACACTCAGAAGCCCCAGCACAATCTGCACCACCTGGAAGAGAGAGGACTTGAGAACACAGCTCCTGAATAGTGGATCCACCCGTTAGCTTGCAGCTGACAATGTCTTGGGCATAGAGGGTGGCCAGAGGAAAGGGTGGCAAGCAAGAAGAAGGACCCTTGCTTAGGCAGGCTGGGTGTCCCTCCCCAGCCCATGAAACATGTAGCTACTCTCACCCAGGAGGCCACCAGCAGCCTGCTGCTACCCAGACTCCTGGTCGAGGCAGATTCTGGGAGCCGTAGCGCCGAGCATCCGGCCAGCAGGAGTTGGGCCAGAGCAGACTCTTGGTGTATGTGCACATCAATGTGGGTGGGCTGTGGGGCCCTAAGGGCCACCTCACCGACATGTGCAGTCTCCATCATCTGTGAGGGAGAGAATGAATAGCAGGAAGGAATATCTGGCAGACTTTCAGGCCTATTGGAGTTGGCAAGTTCAGTGACACAGAATGGCTGCCTCTGGCTCTGGAGCTGTACCTGGGATCTCTTTTGGAGGGTTGTCTGTCAGGGAAGCATGCTGCTGCTGGGGCTCCCTCTTCACCCCACCTCTGCTTTGTGTCCCCTGCAATGGTCTTCAGGGACCTGGTGTCTAGATCAAGAAGTGCCCGTGTCTCTTACCTCTCCATTTCACTCCTGACTGGGTCTCTTTTCTCAGCCTCTTCTCCCAGAGTTCTCTGGTCCCAGATCAGAGCCCAAGTCCCTTTAACCGCCCCCCCCCCCAGCTTCTGTTGTAACAGCTCTTCCTTATCAGGAGTCCCTGGGACCACCTCACCTGGAGCCCTTTGTCTCCTGGGATGAGCATTTAGCACTGACTGACCCTGTCCCCACAGGACTGAGTGGCAGAGATAGGCCACACCTGTCCCTAGCGGTACCTCTCAGTGCCCACGCCCTGGCAAGCTCCTGAATGGATAGAGCAGGGTGGACTGGGAAAGGGGTTTATGCTGAAGTGATTCCCAGGACAGGGTGGACTGTCTTACCTGCTTTCCTCCGGGACCAGGGGAGTGTGCAGCAGGGAAGACCAGGGACACAGGGAGGATCTGGCTGTAGTTGAGAACCTCAGCCCTGGCAGGAGGAAGAAACTGGGTGGGAGCCAGAAGGGGAGGGAAGATGACCAGACTTTAGCACTTCCTGGTAGGCAGCTGGGACCGAGGGCCCCTTCAGGGGCTTTCCAACAGCCAGTTCCTCATTGGGCACTGGGAGTCTGGGGATGGTGGGTGAGGTAGGCATTGAGCTGGGGGTAGCATTGATCACTCCTGTGGGATCTTTGAGAGTATTCTCTCCAGTACCATCAGTGCGAGAGCTTTCTGAGCAACTGTGGGTCTGTGCTATCCTGAGTGTATGTGTGTCCTCATGTCACCTGCATCCAGTAGCAGCAGGGCTAGCCATCTACTCCAGATGGAACCCCCCAAGTGGGGCCCCTTCATGTCAGCTACTTGCTGGCCCCCATCCCTCCACCTCTTCCTCAGGTTTTTTTTTCCTCTTATCTACCTTGGGGGTCATCAGCTCCAAGTCAGCTCCTCCCAGACCCCTCTGCTCCAGCCCTACCTTTCTCAGAGGATAGCAGGTGAGGCAGGGCCCTTCACAGCTCCAGGGTGCCCCGTCTTGGAGCACAGAACCCCTTCTCTGGAGGGGTCTCAAGCCTACTCCTGGAGCTCCACCCTAGCCCAGGATGCTGCTTCTCCTCTCAGGCTGCTTTCCTGTAGGACTCCAGGGAGGGAGGGACATTCTGGACAGAGGCTGTGACTCTAGAAACATGCCCGAGGCTGGGGAGGCCAGAGCCTCACTTTGCACTCCGAGAGTGGGGCCTTTGAGACCAAGCAGGCATGGGATGGCTGTGGAGTGGAGACACAGGGCGTTTCTCTAATCTTGGGCACTGAGGGTTATCAGGGAGCCACTCTCTGGAGTGGTGGCAGCAGTGATGAGCATAGAGGCTTCTGAGTGGCCAGGGCAGTGGTGGATCTGGGGGGTCCGGAGGGGACCAGCACACAGATGGGATTGAGATTTCATCCCTAACTTCTGGAACCTCAAGGGAAGGTGAGAATCTGGGGCCTTTATTTGTGTTTCTGTGAAGAAGTCGAAAGTCTCTTCCTCCCTCCTGAAGAGTTGCCACTCTGAGGCCCCAGGTAAGTAGAAATGAAGAGTGAACTAAGGTGTGGGGTGACTACAAATGAATGCAGACAGAGGTGAGACTGGAGTGGTTATCAATATCCAGTTGAAACTGATACTCAGCCAGATTGCCCAGTAGAGTTGCCTGGACAGAATTTCTTTTGGATATAAGCATCTGATCAGAGGGGCTAAGATGGCCATGCCAATTCTGAACCAGTAACAGGAGAAAGTTGGGAAGCAGGCAGGAAGCGTTAAACTCTATGCTGGTTAGAATGGTACCAGTGGTGAGGAGGCTGCCAGACATTCAAGTAGGCAGAATAAGAAGACCTTGTGGGCTCAAGGCTCTATGGAAACTCGGGACAGTGCTTTTAGTCAGTGGGAGAAAGGTGATGTAGACCCCACTAGAAGTTGTTCTTCAGAAGTGAATACATGGACCAGCACCGTGGGTCCTTGCCTCCATACCTGGGGATTATTACACATACCAACTTTTCTTCTTGAATCATGCTTGTACCTGTTTATGTGGGTGTGTGAGTGCATATTGCTAACAGTAAGTTTTCAAATATACAAAGAACTTTTACGAAAAAAATTCAGGAAGTTATCAGAATGAAGAACTTACAAAAGAAGTAATAAAAAATGTCCCTAAGAAACAAAAAGGCAGACAACCACATTATGAAAGAACACTCAAAACCATTGCAGAAACCAATGTAAAAAGCCAGGCAGGGGAATTTACTGGGAGAGGGCATTAGGGAAGTTTTATTTTTATTTTTTGAGACAGGATCTCATTGTGTATCCTGGACTGGCCTGGAACTTGCTATGTAGACCAGGTTATCCTCCACCTCACAAAACTCCACCTGCCGCTGCCTCCTGAGTGTCGGGATTAAAGATGAGCACCACACCTGGAGGGAACTTTTTGCAATGCACGTCTAGATTGTAGCTATGTTTTCATAAAGATAGATACTTGTCAAACTTCAAGATAAGCAATGAAAATGCAGCAATCTATTGCATTAAGCTAAAACGTATAATAGAATGTAATTTCTCTTATGTAAAACTAAAGAAAGCAGAAATTGCCAGCACACTCAGGGAGTGGGGAGAGAAGCTCTATTCTTGGATGTCCCTCACATATGGTCATTGCTCCAACATCCATGGAAGGTAATTGACAACAGCCACTACAAATGCATTATTCTACCCTGGTCATGATACAAAGGGATTGGAAATAACCTGAGTATCTGTCAATAGGAGAGTGCTCAAATATTATCACACACACACACACACACACACACACACACGAGTATCTGACCCATCAACACCATGTGCACAGAACCATGTATGGTAGCGGCCATTTGTGACGCAGGGGGAGAAGAAATACTTTTCCATACTCTTGTGTACAAAACATGCCACTGGAGGCTCTGCAAGAAACTAGTCATGTTAGTTCCCATCTGGAAGGCAATAGGCAACTGGGAGAAGATAAAAAGGGGAATTTTTAAAGCTATACTCTTAACATTTGCACTTTTGTGTGTATTTGGATAGTGTGTGGGCATGTGTGTTGCTATGCACATGGGCACAGGTGTGTATGTGTAACTGCACACACATGTATGTGAGCATGCAGATTGAAGCCCAGAGTTGAAATTGCATATTTTCCTTGATGGCTCTCCACTTAATTGAGGTGGTTTCTCTCAGTTAAACACAGAGCTTAACTGGCCAGCTTCTCCTGGGAATCCTGTCTCTACCTCCCAAATGCTAGGGTCACAGGAAGCCATCACACCTGCTCAACTTTTACATGGGTTCCGGGATCTGCAGGCTGGTCCTCATACTTATACAACAAGTTCTTACCCATGGAGCCATCTTCTTGGCCCCTTTTCAACTTTTTAACTAGTAAAAGTAGTGTGTGTGTGTGTGTGTGTGTGTGTGTGTGTGTGTGTGTGTGTGTGTGTGAACTCAGATTTCTTTTTTGTCCCACTTGGACCTAAGCCAAGCGGTGTTAGACAGCCTTATGTTACTGAGAAAAACAGATTGAAGGAGGAGAGATTTATGTTTCCTTGTGTGGCTCACTGTTTCAGACATTTTGCTCTGAGGTCAGCCCACTACTCTGGGCCCAAGGCAAGGCAGAGTATCTGGGAAGTGGGAGTGGTGATA